CTCCCCTCCACTTCTCCTTCTTCCTCCTCCTTCCCCCTCCTCCCGATCTGCAGACCCACTCTTCTTCTTCTTCTCCACCCTTCTTCTTCTTCTCCCTTATTTTCTTCTTCCTTTTGCAACAAAAACACACCTTTTGCAAAAAAAACCAAAAAAAAAAAAAAAAAAAAAAAGAAAGACACCAAAACAACGTCGTTTTGGTATCGAGCCAAATTCGAGTCACCGAGTTTCGAGCTACATAGCGGGGTCGTTTTAAAAGACATATTCCAAAGTTAGTTTTATTCTTTATATTCTAGTTAAAATATATATATATACATATATATATTGGTTTTCAAGTTTAAAAACATAAATTTAAAAATAAATCATGGTTTAAAAATATAATTTAAATATTGAAATTATTTTTTAAAAATACAACTTCTACTTCAAGAAATAACATGAATTTAAAAAACAAAAATTACAAAAAAAATGGTTTAAAAAAATTAAGAAAAGGGAGGATTCAAAATTTATTGTAATGCATATGAAATCTAAAAAAATGATTTCAAAAACATGATTTAAATGACTTTTTTGCCCCTCTCCCCCACCCTCCCCAACCACTACAAACCTTAGGCCAACGCCGACACCAACATCCCATCTCTCACCACAACTACTGCTTTACCTCTCTTTCACATTTCCTCTATCTCTCAACCACAACCACTCCCATTTGTCTTCTCCGCCACATACTAGTGATGACATCAATGGATCGTACGACGAGGGTTCTTTTTCTTCTTCTTCTTCTTCTTCTTCTTCTTCTTCTATAGTCAGAAAATGAAGCAGATGAAAGGACTACAAAAATGTGGGAGACGAGATACTAGTACCGATGCTAGGCTAAGATTTGTCAATACTGGGCTAAGGGTCTAGTTTGCATCGATTGGGCCAATTTGAAATCCGTTTTGGTGATCTGAATCATTCAACTAATAAAGTTTTTTAAGCAGATTATACATACAAAGAATCAAGTTGATGGGATATCATGCCTCATTTAGAAAGTTGGCTATTTAGTTTTTGGCTATTTAGTAGGCTAAAATAGTTGTGTTTGGAAAGAGAGTTAGATTTTTTTGTACTTGAATGTGATATTTGAAAGGAAAAAAAATGAAATAATTATGGATTTGATGTGACATTTTATCTTATTAACTATTTTAGCATATTTTGTCTTTTAGTGTTATTTTAACCCAAAAAGTTATAAAAGCTCCTTCCCAAACACCCCTCAGTAAGCATATAATCAGTTTATATTTGTACCCAAAAAAAAAAAAAAAATCTATTTTCAAAAGTATACTTGCCATAAATTGTTTTAAGAAAATTTTATCTAATTAAGTTAATTTTTTACTTAATGATCTTTACTGTAAATCTTACAAATTAAATGATTTAAAACATCAAAATAAATTGGATACGAGGTCACAGTCATGTCAACTAGTTCTCCCAATCCAAAAAGTGAACGGAAAGCAAACTTGGCTCTTGATACTCCATCTGAAGAGAAGAAAATATATTAAAATAAATAAATAAATAAATAAAATAAAATTGCTAAAAGCAAATCTTAAGGTCTTGTTGGAAAACATGTATGAAAATGTTTTAAAATATGTATTAAGAGCAAAATATTTTGTCATTTGCATACGTTTTATAATGAAACTAGCCGCAATAAACTCAGTGACGTCTTTGTCTATCTCAACCCAGATTTTTTAACAATTTATCATGGTATTTGAGTCTGACTAGGCAATCATGAATGTTTTAAACCAATTTCACGATATTTGAAAATGTGTTTCTCAAGTTAAATTATTTATAAATTACGACATTAAAAAATAAATATAGGATAAATTATATTGACACCCCTTGAGATTTGGTCTAATTATTACACATCTCAAACATTTTTGAAATTACATTCTCACCCCTGTGGTTAATAATCTCATTTTACAAACCCCTTACTTATATAAAAGGTAACAACTCCTAATAGAAAAATAGAATAAATTATATTAAAAAAAAGTAAAGGAAAGAGGAAAAAAAAAAAGATAAAGTAAAGCAAAGCAAAAAAAGAGAGAGTGCATAAATTCAATGTTTTCATTCCGTCTAAATAATTACAAAGACAAGGGGGTTAGTGTAATTTCTCAAATGTTAGGGAGTGATATGTATTAAACCCAAATCTTAGGTGGTGTAAGTGTAATTTATCCAAAAATATATATTAGTGAAAAAAAAAAAAAAATTCGAGCCACATTCGAGCCAAGCCATTTCGGGCCCTCAATCATTTTTCATTTGAAAATGTGTTTCTCAATTTAAATTATTTTTAAATTACGACATTAAAAAATAGATATAGGGTAAATTACATTGACACCCCTTAAGGTTTGGTCCAATTACTGCACATTCCCTGACGTTTTTGAAATTACATTCTCATTCATGTGGTTAATAGTCTCATTTCACAAACCCCTTATTTATATAAAAGGTAACAATTCCTAGTAAAAAAATAGAAAAAATTATATTAAAAAAAAATAAAAGAAAGAGGAAAAAAAAGAGAAAGCAAAGCAAAGTAAAAAAAGAGAGAGTGCATGAGTTCAATGTCTACATTCCGTCTAAATAATTACAATAACAAAGGGGTTAATGTAATTTCCCAAACGTTAAAGGGTGATATGTATTAAACCCAAATCTCAAGTGGTGCAAGTGTAATTTACCCAAAAATATATATTAGTGATAAGTTTATTTTTACATAAATATGTCATTAGGTTTAAGGATTAGAATTTTTTTAGTGATTATGATAAGATATTGTTTTAAATAATTTTTTTTTTATTTTTATCCCATTGTCGTTGAAAAGGTCATCAGAAGTGGCCGACGACAGTGATGAGTGATAATGGTGATATAGACTAAGAGATAGATTAGATTGATAGATATATGACGTGTGAATAAATAAAGAGATGATATGTGGATAGATAAATGACATGAAATAGAGTTAATATCATCTTTCAAATTATTTTGTCTTTTTTACCTCAAAAGATTAGAGCTTAGAGTATCTCCAATTCACTAGGCATATAATACTTATTATTAGTCAAAATGCGTAGCATAACTCACATTTTTTCAACTCTAATGCATTAGGTATATAATTAGGCATTTTGGCTCAACTCACATTCACTAGTTATATGTAATTAGCCTTCAAAGACTAGACAAAATGTAATTAATCCTCATGATCATTTCCCTCCATCTTTATTGCTGTTGTGGCATTCCATTCCTGTGTTTGGTTTCAATTTTCTGAAAATTGAATTTTTTATTTTTTATATTTTTTTGTTTTTAGTGAATATTTTTAAAATTTTAACATTTTTTTATTTTTCTAGATGCACCTTACTTAGATATATCTAAAAAGTAAAATATTATAAAACAATATTTTAAAAAATCAATAAATACACAAGAATACAAAAAAAGTACTGAATTTTCATAATTTTTTTGTATTTTTAACATTTAGTGAATTTTGAAAAGATTTTTCACAAATATTATACTTTTTAAATATATTTATATTAGGTGTATTTAAAAATTAAAAAAAATTGCTTAAAATGTTAAAAAAAATTAGTGAAAAAAAAAAGGGAAAATAAAGGCAGCATTTGGTAAGCTTTACGTTTTTTTGTTTATGTTTACAAAAATTTTATAAACTGATTTTTGTTTATTTTTAGAAAAGCATAAACTGTAAACGCAATTGGTTTGAACAAAATGTTTAAAAAAATTTAAAAATATAAACTAAAAAATATGTTTGTTCAGGCCTAAAATATTTATATTTATTTTTATTATTTATGACAATGGGATTATACACATTATAATTGAAAAAAATTAATTAAAAAAATTAATTGAAAAAAAAAATTATTAGGCAAATTTTTAAATTTCTGTTTAAAAACCAATGTAAACTCATTTTTTGAGTTTATATTTTTTCCTCAAATTTACAAACTGAAACAATTATTTATAAACCAAAAAAATTATCAAACAAGTTTATGGCAGTTTTTTAAATTTTTGTAAATATAAATTAAAAACTGAAAACGAAATGGTTACTAAACAGGCTGAATAGTATTTTAATTAATAGCTAAAATAATGAGTATGATTAGAGTAGAAACATAATAAAAAAAAAAATTGATAAGCAAAATAAAATATATACTTTATAGTAATGTTTAAATAGGTAAAATACCTACTTACATTAGAGATACTCTTAAGCCTTCATTTGGGATGTGAGTTGATTTTTTTTCTTTTTTGATTTTTTTGCTATTTTAGCCGGAAACAAGGATATTGTCGTGCCTAAGGCACAGCATTTACTGTTGTTCTCTTTGTGGGAGGTCGTCCCGAGTGTTTTCCAATTATTTGAACTGTTCATATTGTAGGGTTCATGAAAAATATTATTTATGTAAAAAATTAAATTGATTAGATATTCATAATCTCAAGATTAGGTCCTAATTAAATTTATGAAAGTTATGTTAACTATTAATTTTTATAAAAACAAATGTGCTTTGGTTATAGGGCTACAGATATCCCAATCAATTTGATTTTTTATATGAATGATCTATTCAACAAATCCTACCATATGAACGGTTCAGATCATCGAAAACACTTGGGATGACCTCCCACAAAGAGCATAGCAGTATCTGTTGTGCCTTAAGCACATCAGTGTCCCCGTTTCCATTTTAACCTGGAGTTAAAAAGTCTCGTTTGAGATGGATTTTTTGCCTTTTCTAACTTTTGTGAAAAAAAAAAATGAAATAATTATAGTTTGGATGTAACATTTTATCTTATTGACTTTTTAATCTATTTTACCTTTTTGTGACTATTTTAATCCAAATAGATTATGCCAAACATAGGTTAAGACTACTACCCAAAAGTTTTTAAATTGAACATACGACTCTAATGCCAAAAAAATAAATAAATAAATTTTAGAAAAAAACACAGTCAAAATTTCTTAAATTTTTGATAAATAAATTTTTAACTGGAATAGGGACACACGTTATATACTCCGATAATCTAGCATCCTGAAGACAACTATTGGGCAGAGAAGGATACCAAAATGGAGGGAGTGGTGCAATGCTCAGCCAACTATGTGCCTCTCTCTCCTATAAGCTTCTTAGAGCGAGCTGCTTTTGTCTATGGTGATCAAGTCTCCATTGTTCATGGCAATACAACCTACTCATGGAGACAGACTCATCAAAGGTGTATCAAACTCGCCTCTGCTCTCTCTCAGTTGGGTATCTCCCGCGGCGGCGTTGTAAGTTTTTCTAAATGCCGCCCTTTCATGATGTTATTGAAATCAATTTTAAGTTGTGTACTTTTAAATTTTTAATCTGGAGATAAATATGAGTAAATTTACGCTCCTTCGTTTAGATAGAAAATGTTTTTTAGAAAATATTTTTTGTATTTTTTAGTGTCTGGTATAATAAAAAACGAAAATTAACCGAAAACATTTTCCTTAGCTAATAGAAAATAAACTTATTTAAGTCGAAAATGTTTTTCACTTTTAAAAGGTGAAAAATGTTTCAAATTAAAATTTTACCGATGTCACCACACTACCACCACTCTCACCTCCACGACCACACCACCATTACTACGGCCACCACCACCATCATTGTCGCAATCACCCCACCACTATGCTGCCGCCATCTCTATCTCTACCTTCATTCCATCACCACCACTAAATATAGAAAAAAAATTTCTTTGCAAGAAAAAATTTTCCTCCCAAATAAACGTAGGTTAGTACTAATAGAAGAATGAAAAATATTAGGGATACTAACAATCTTATTAACGCACTCACAAGTTGATATAATTCTCACACCAAGTGATGGTTGATCTTATCAAAACTTAAGAGTGTGTTAGTAAAATTGTTAGTAAATGTGTAAGTATCCCTAACATTGTTGTAGAAGAATTGAGATTAGAACTGTCATGGTTTAGCTCCAATGGAATCTCCAAATCTCATCCATAAGGCATAATAATAATATGGGATTGAGAAATTATGAATCCTCACACACCTAGGATGTTTGGAAGTATGATTGGAGATGAAAATATTATTTTGTTTCTATTTTACAAAAATAATAAAGTTGTTTTTCATGTAGTGGGAGTTTTTATATAATTTTATAAATTCAATTTCAATCAATTAAAATTATCATTGTAGTAATTCTATCACTCAATCTCTTTATACTCATAATCCCTATCAACCTAATTTAACAAATAACCATATATATATCCAACTCCAATGTTTTGAACAAGAAGTTAAGATCGTCAAGACACTAAAAAAAAAATTTCATCCTAATAAAAATTACTTACATGGTGTTATATATTTTTTTATGTATATATATAATTTATATATTAGATTAGACATATATGTGTGTGCATACGCGTAGACTTGTATATGGCCAAAAAAAAAATATTTATCTCTTGACCCCTTCCGATGGGTTCGTCCCTTGTCAACACCATCGCAATCGACGGCTAAAATTTATTCAATATGTATATTACAAATCAATAAAAAAAAATGTCATATTAAAATAATAAGCTCATCATTTGTACCAATTATATCCTTTTTGAGGCACCACTTAGGATTGTTTCAGGAATTACTAGTTTAATTGATTTTTTAACTTTTTATAAAATGACATAAAAAAATAAAAAGAATAATTAATTTTTTAACTATTTTAAATAATTTCCAAATCAAAAATATTTGAAATCCTCTATTTTTATGACCTTCATGATCTCTAATTGATTGGTGACCACTCATTATATTTGTATTTTTTTTTCTTCTCTCTCACAAGTGTGTGGGGGTTGTGGGATCCGTAACGGGACTGTTTCCAGACTTACCTTCTAGTCACGCACATAGACATGAACTAACAGTTCGTCCACGGCACCGCTAAGGTCAAACCAATATGATCATAAGGTCCATGTTGTTGTTTTTTTTTTGGGTTGATTTGAATTCTCCTCCACCATGCATCATCATGCATGAGTCATGTGATGATGAGAGAAAAATGGCCCAAGTTACGTATATCTTCAATCTAATTCCTTTATTTTCTTAACCAAATATTGGAAACTTATTCAAAAACTTAACCATAACTCAAGTATGAATTTTTATAGAACTCTCATTGGAAATGAGTTGATATTGAGTTTCTACACAGATTTTATTTCTCAAAGCTAAGTTTTAATTGATTTAAGGGGATAGTTTGAAGCAAAACTGCTCAATGCAATGTAAAAAGAAAAAGACAGAGAGATCAATATGAGATGGAAAGTAAATGGACATCTTCATAAATAAATAAATAAAAATAAATTAAAGATTAAAATAACAATCTCAAAATTCACAATAATTCCTACATACATCCAAACTCGTGGTCAGTGGACTTATAAAATTCGATCCATAAAAAATTCTGCTAATTTGTATCATGTCAGCAGCATGCAACCTCATACCCCTTGAATAATTGTATATATTAATATTAAAGATAGAAGAAGGCATAACATGATGACTGTTGAGGATCGGGGGCACACCAGGGAACTCAAACAAGCAATAACACACAAGTTTTAACGTGGTTCGGCAAGTCGCCTACGTCCACGGGCAGCGGATTCACTATATTGAACAAAATGGTGAATTACAACACTCTCTGTAATTCTCTCTCTTTTTGCTCTCAACTCACACCTCTCAGCTCCACATCTGATATATATATCCTCTCCCTCCCGTCTCTATTTATACACAAAGGAGTAGGTGGGAGAGCCCTCATTCTTTGACTTTTGACATGGTTGGTGGCCTTCCATTGTTGACATGAGGTTGGTGGCCTTCCATTGTTGACATGAGGATCACCCCTTTCACATGGGGTGACCTCCAGAATCTGCAGCCAATTCAACAATGACAGCCAAAATGTCGTAAGTTTTGGGCAGGTCTGATTGAATGAATTATAATATATAATTGATAATATTAATTTATGGTACGCACATTCTATTGTTTAGTTATAATTTTTGAGTTAGATTTTGATAGATATTCTGTCCAATAAATTTGACGATTTTTAATCTTATAACTAACAATGCAAAATAAATATATAATTAAAAATATATATTTCCATTTTCATATCAAAACAATTTTGACAAAGAAATTTTTTTATCTCAATAATCCAATTAGATAACCAATCATATATTAATTTTATGAATTATTAGTTTTCTCACTATTAATCAGGCTAATCAAACAGATCTTAACGTCACCACTTGCCTCGAATTATTTTGATGACAAACTTGGCAGCACTTAGTGCCTGCTTTATTAAATTCATGTATGATGTAGAGGTTTTAACAACTAAATATTTCCATTTTACGATTTTAAAATTAGAACTTGACTGACATTTTTACTTAAGTCTAGAGTTTTATAGTTTTTTATTTGTTGATGTTTTTATTTTTTTGTTGGTTACTTGATCTACAAGAATTAAGATTACTTGCAAGATTTATAATTAGTGCCCATTTAGTAATTTGACTTTTTCTAGTGACTTTTTCATTGTTACTTAAGTCTAGAGTTTTATAGTTTTTTATTTGTTGATGTTTTTATTTTTTTCTATTTTTTTTTGTTGGTTTTACTTGATCTACAAGAATTAAGATTACTTGCAAAACTTATAATTAGGGCTATTTTGGAAAGATGGTTACACTACAACAAAAAGCACTTTTGTCGACTAAAATTACATTTTCCGTCGCTGAAAGTAGTACAATTGGCGACTAAAATGGAATTAGTCGCCAAAATTGATAACTTTTGCCGGCTAAAAGAGTTTAGTGGCCAAATATAAGGGTATTAACGACTAAAAGGTAGTTTAGTCGCCGAATGTAGGGGTTTTAGCGACTAAAGATTGTTTAGTAGCCAAAAGTCACAGTTTTTGGCGACTAAAAATGATTTAGTAGCCAAAAGTGATGGTTTTGGAGACTAAAAACAGTTTAGTCACTGAAAGTGAAGCTTTTTGGCTACAAAAAAAAATTAGTAGCTAAAAACAGTCCTTTGCCCACTAAAATTCAGTTTAGTAGCCAAAAGGGGTCGTTTTTGGCGACTGAAAACTGGTTTAGTCGCCAAAACTGCTTATTTCTAGGCGGAACTTAATTTTTTAGCGACTAAATAATAATTAGTAGCCAAAAATGATAGAATTGGCAACTAAAAATTTAATTTAGTCGCCAAAAGTGGCCTAAATTTTTTTTAAGTAAATAATTTATTTTTTACATAAATTATATTGAATTAAAAAAATTATATTTATATATATTATTTTGTATTAATACCGGTTAATATAATTATAATCAACTTTTTGATAAAAAATTGTTTATAAACAGCTTTTTTGTGAGAGAGGAAGTGGGTTATAATCTGGGAAGTGGATTATAACCCACTTCCCAAAAGGGGCCTTAGTGCCCATTTGGAAACTTATTTTTTTAGTAACTGTTTTTTGAGGTGAAAAAAAGTTAATGTGTTTGGAATGATTTTTTTAGTTGTGTAAATAGTTGTAAAAGAAAAAAAGGGGTTTTTGGTGAGCCCCTCAATTTCAAACTTTATTGCCAAAAGGACAAGATAAAAACATTTAATTCATTAAGGACAAAGTTTAAAATATTTAAAAAATATGACAATAATACCCTCAACTTCTATCATTTTCTTAAATTAGCACAACCACCGCCGACCATTGTCTGCCATCACTGAACCACCGCCGGCCACTGTTGATCACCCCGGCCGGCGATAATTTTCTGGCGATCACTGTCGGTTTGCAAAAATTTTCAGCAAGATTCTCCAATGACAGTAAAATTTTACTCTATTAGATAGTAAAATTTTACTATTTACTTTAAACATATAAATAGTGAATTTTTGCCATTGTTATCACTAACCACCACACTTACTATAATTATTACCATTATTCATATAGCTATTAATGAGAAATCAGTCAGAACATTGAATTAATAAAGTTAACATATTAGAGTAAAATTTTACTATTTCACTATTGAACGTACTAAAATAACATTTTGTTTGAGACCTTAATATCAATATTCAAACTTATATTGACAAAAAAAAATTGCACTAAAATAAAAATATATACATATGGAGATAGAAAGAGAAAAAAATAGAAAAACAGAGAGATAGAGAGAGCACATATATTGTCTTAGATTTTGTTCAAACCAGAGTAAAATTTTACTGTCCAAAAAACAAAGCATGATGAGGAGACAAAGAGAAAAAGATGGACAGAATATGGATCTGAGATGATAGATCTCAAATCTAATGTCGTCAATCTCAAATCTGAGGTCTTGGACGCTAAGGATGACAATGGTGGTTGCCCGTGGTACAATGACATTGAATGGCGCTGGTGGTTGAGATGGTAGTAGTGAAACAGTGGTGGCGGTTGTGGTGGCGGTGGCGGTGGCGGTGGCGAATAGTGCCGATGGTTGAAACAGTGTTGGTGGAAACGGTGGAGGTAATGGAAACGATGGTAGTCGTGGTAGTGGAGATGGTGATAGTGGTGGTAGTATAGATAGTGGTGGTGGTGGTAGTGGTGGAAAGAGCTCTTAGAAAGAGATAGAGAAAGAAAGAGCTAAGAAAGAGATGACAAACTAATGAAGAGAAAGAAAGTGTATGTGTGTGTGTATGTGTATGTGTGTGTCTGTGAAGGGGTAAATTTGTCACATAAAATATAAATCTGAAAATTTTTGTCCTTGCAAGATTTCTTTATTTTTTAGGAGTTTATGAGCCAAAAAATTATAACTTGTCCTTTTTAAGAAAAACGAGCTCTAGGAAAGATTTATGGCCAAAAATCCCAAGAAAGAAAGTGCTTGATTGATGTGTATAATATGACATTTTAACTTTTTTTACTTTTTACTTTTTACTTTTTATGACCGGATGTTCAAGCCAGTTTACTGTTTACGTACACCTCGACTAATCCTAAAATTCACGCAATGCGCCCCTTCTATGTGAATTAGACAAAACTCTGGCATAGCCCGCAAGCATGGCCCCAGGGAACATATTATATGTAATGAGAGTTGAATCTGATATCTAAATTTAGAGGGAACACACCCTAAATCCCAAGTTACATAACTCCTCGGGATTGGGGCATTGGTTTCTTAACATTTTTTTTCTTTTAATACCCGTAGGCTTGTTAAGATTTCTATTGCTTAGAATAAGATTTGATTATTAGTAAAATTTGATTATAGAATCTCTCTTATTTTGCGTTTGTTTGTGTTTACTTCTACACTCTATTGCATCAATGTCAAACATTTGTTTTCTTTACTTACATACAACTTTATTAGGAATTCATATATGATTCTTGGATCCCTAATTTCGTCCCTTGTCAGGAATATCTCCTCTCCATATACCACTATCCTTCATATTACTCAATATTTTATTTTGTAGTTTCCAAATCCAAGCTCATAACAGAAATTTAAATCATTCATCTTGTAAATCTTGCCATAAAAATCTTTTTACACAAAAAATTAACTTTATCGAATATTGACGAATAGAAGAACAAATCACATTTTATTTAATAAAATGGACAGTTTAAATTTAAACTCATCGCTATTGCCCATTAAAAAAATATATATAATTTGATCATATGTCTAGTGATATTTGAGAAAATTAACTTTTCACAAAATCAATTTTCACGGTGAGAATTACGAAATGAACAATTCAAATGATTGTTGTGAGCTCAGGATGGAACCCACAAAATAGAGTAAGGAAAGATATAGAGAATAGTGGTATGGAGCGGAGCCATTTCCTATTTTATCACGTGAGAAGGTTGCAGCTTTGGCGCCAAACATTCCAGAGCTGTATGAGTTGTACTTTGGTGTACCAATGGCTGGTGCAGTCATTTCAGCACTCAATACAAGGCTTGATGCCCCCATGATAGGATCATTATTAGAAGAGTTGGAAGCAAAAATCATATGTATCGACTATCAATTTCTTGAACTTGTCCTCAAAGCACTAGACTTTCTCTCCCTATCCAATTCCAAAGCCAAACCACCATTAATTATTGTCATACCAGAGTGCAATCACACAACAGACCTCCCACCAAGTAGCTTGGATTACAATAGGCTACTCGAAATGGGACAAAATGATTTTGAGATTCTTCATCCAATCGACGAGTGTCAACCAATCTCGGTAAATTACACTTCTGGCTCAACCGGGAAGCCTAAAGGCGTGGTGTATAGCCACAGAGCGGTTTATCTCAATTCACTAGCTGAAATTTTTCGCAGCGACATGAGAGCAATGCCCGTGTTTCTATGGACAGTGGACATGTTTCGCTGCAGCGGGTGGTGCTTTACTTGGGCAGTGGCGGCTTTGGGTGGCACCAACATTTGCATCAGAAATGTCACATCAAAAGTCATCTTTGACGCGATACGCCTTCACAGGGTGACACATATATGCGGTGCACCCACCATCTTGAACATGATTGCGGAAGCAGGGTCCAGTGACCAACAACCACTTCCTTCCAAAGTGGATGTCATAATCGCTGGAGCATTGCCACCTCTTCAAACTCTGAACAAAGTTAGGGAATTGGGATTTAATGTTTCTCATGCTTTTGGAATGACAGAAGCCCTTGGTCCAGTGATATCAGTACCCTTAGACAATGACCATGGAATGATAAAACGCCGTGAAGGGATTCACAACCTTATGATGGAAGGTGTCGATGTAAAGGATCCGAAGACGATGATAAGTGTGCCACCAGATGGGAAAACCATTGGGGAGGTGATGTTTAGAAGCAATACTATGATGTTGGGGTACCTTAAAAATGTTCAAGCGAGTCAACAAGCTTTCAGAAGCGGGTGGTATAGGACCAGGGACATCGGAGTCAGGCATCCTGATGGGTATATACAGATGAAGGACCGTGTCGTAGACGCAATATTAACTTCTGGAGGGGAGAGTGTGAGCACACTTGAGGTTGAAGCAGTGGTGGCTAGTCATCCCGTGGTGCTGGAGGCTGCTGTTGTTGGAATGCCTAGTGATTGTTTGGGGGAAATGCCTTGTGCTTTTGTAAGGTTGAAGGAAGGATTCAGTACAAGTGAGAAAGAGATTGTTGAGTTTTGTGGGGATAGATTGCCACACTATATGGTACCACAGAGTGTTATTTTTGGGGATTTGCCAATCAATTCAACTGGGAAGGTACAGAAATTTGTTCTCAGAGAGAAAGCTAAAGCCATGGGCAGCCTTTCTCACTCGAATGGGCATTGAACACTGAAATATATGGCATGAATCATCTGGTTCCACTTTTGTACCATGTTTCATTTTATATGTTCTAATCATTGATCTTGGTGATGTAGTAATATAAGATTGGTTACGTCAAAAGATGATACAGAGAATAAGACAGATGATTTGTAGACTGTACCTGAAATATATTATATTTGAAAAGATTTTATCTTTCCAAGACTGTGTGAATAAAGTAATGGTTTTAATTATGTGTCAAATAAATTTAGAGCAAATGCTAATTTATAACTATGGCAAATTGTTTCAATCACTTTTTCTTTGTTGGTTGAAAAATATGTTAGAGTTATAGGACTAATTATGTTATTGGAATTTTGATTGCATTTAAGATGTTTGAAAAAATGTATTAGTTTGTTGACAATTTAAACAAAAGTACTTTTGAACTATATTTTTATTTGCATTTAGATGTTATTGACAACTTGTTACCGATTTAAGAAGTTCTTGGAAGATTTCTCCCGAAATATATATACGTAGTGAAATCCACCAGAAGCAGCTATACTATTTGTGGAATCTTAAAGAATCACAAATTTGCCCATCTTTGCTCAACAGCAAAATTTCTTCTTGTTCTGTCAAGTGAATGAAACCTGAATGAGAACATGAAAAAATTATTCAGTAATTTTCCATTTCACCACCATAAATATTTATAAATTAAAAAATAAAAAGTACAACAAGAAGGGAAGTTTATTCTTTCCACTTAGAAAGGCTGCCCAAAGCTTTTGCCTTCTCCCTCAGAACAAACTTCTGCACCTTCCCAGTTGAAGTTTTAGGAAGATCTTCAAAAATGACTGTCCGGGGTGCCATATAATGTGGCAAACGATCCCTGCAGAACTTGATTACCTCTTGAGCATCGACACTGAATCCCTCCTTCAACTTCACAAAGGCGCAAGGCGTCTGACCCCAGTGATCATCCGGTCTAGCAACCACCGCAGCTTCAAGCACAGCCGGATGACTAAACAACGTCGTCTCTACCTCTACACTGCTAATATTCTCACCCCCAGAGATTATAATATCCTTCGAGCGGTCCTTGACTTCTATATACCCGTCAGGGTGTTTCACAGCAAGATCACCACTTCTGAACCACCCACCCCTGAAAGCCTCTTGTGTCGCTTCCAAATCTTTGAGGTATCCACTCATTACTGTGTTTCCTCTGAACATAACCTCACCAACCGTCTTTCCATCAGCCGGTATGCTTTTCATGGTGATAGAATCTTTGATGTCTACTTCTTCTAGACCGAGATGTTGAACTCCTTGTCGTGCTTTTAGCTTTAATCGTTCATCTTGAGGCAAAGAGTCCCATTCAGGCTTCCATACACAAGATGTCCCAGGACCATAAGTTTCTGTAAGTCCATACAAGTGAGATAGTCCAAAACCGAGCTCCTCCATCTTAAGAAGTATCTGTGGAGGAGGTGGTGCACCACCCGTCATTACTTCAACCTTGTGGGGAAGTGGGCATCGGTCATTTGAAGGCGAATTTACAATCATGTTCAAGACAGTTGGTGCGCCACCCATGTGTGTCACCTTGTGGAGAGCAATATTTTGAAAAATGGCTTTAGGAGAGACACTTCTAAGGCATATGTTAGTGCCACCGAGGGCTGTGAGTCCCCAAATGAGGCACCACCCGTTGCAGTGAAACATAGGCACTGTCCAAAGATAAACAGGCATTGAGCCCATTCCATGAAGAAAAAATGTCGCGAAGGCATTGAGATAGGCACCTCTGTGACTATAAACAACTCCTTTGGGAAGTGAAGTTGTGCCAGAAGTATAATTTACACTGATAGGATCCAATTCATTTCTTGGCCGTCTTATGGAAAATTCTGTATGTCCACTTGCCAAGAGTCTCTCGTATTCATAAGTATCAGAAGTAATAGTTGTTTGAGATGAGTCATCAGATTCAGGAACCAACACTAAAATAGGAAGTTTCGATTCTGTACTTACAAGAAGATCAAGTGCTCCACGAGCAATTTCAAGTAACTGGTAATCTACAAAAATGACCTTGGCTTCGGAATGTCTCAGTAGGACTGACAGCATAGCTGAATCATGGCGTGTATTAAGTGTACAAATTACTGCTCCAGCCATTGGTACCGCAAAATGCAGCTCATGCATTGCTGGAATATTAGGGGCCAACGTTGCTACCTACTCAATGATTTGGAAATTTAAAAATGAAGAAATAGGATATGCCACGCAGAAACGTACAGAGAATTGAATATGATATAGTGCAATTGGAAAAGAGAAGAACAGAAAAGGATAGTGAACAAGAAGTAAGTGGCTATCGACTTCAAGAATTTTGATTTTCATTAATGCACATGGACAAGAAATTTAAAATTTTGTGTCAAAAACCTTGCCGCTATAAAACAGTTTACAAGTTTGGATTAATATGTTCTAAAGGAAGTCAAAAACACTAATATGCAGTAATTATTTCTTTCCCATCAACTTTGTTCACAGTATAGGTTCCTGCCTTTTAAGTGGCAAAAGACAACTGATTGATGTACTGAATTCAGAACCATGAGATTGCCCACTTTTATGTAAGGGCTACCTTTCATATAATGGTCCCCCAAACTCAATTTGACCCCATCAAAATTTTGGAAAACCCACTTTGCACAAGGGTTTCCCTCCAAAATCAAAAACCCCAAATTAACTTTGCAATAAACAAGGAATATAGTTTACTTGATTGGTCTCATATGTTATAGCAGTGAAATTTTGTTAGAGAAACTAGATTGGTCTCGTGTGTGGTTCCTATAATTTTTCAATTGAACCACTTGTGAAACTTACGAATCTAAGTCACCTGACTAATATTCAAATAATTATATGGGCTAATGAGAAGTGGTTAGCATGTCTAAATTGAGACCATCACTGGTATTGTATAATTTGTTTATTGGTACAATTGTCCTATATTAAACGATTATTTAAGTTATCTAAACCCGGCCCAACCCACCATCCACCCAGCGGGAACCACTGCATTCTTTTTGGCCTGCGCTCCGCTCCTGAGGAGAGAGAAGACTGTACTGAAAATGTAATCAAAAGAGTCAAAGCTTGGTAAAATTCAAATTCATTATGTTGATGCTTCTATTCTAATAAAATTTAATGTTTATTTATCCCCAAAAAAAAAATCAAATCAAATCAAATTCATATTAAGAAGATAAAAATGGTTTTGTTTGGCCTGGAATGGATATAATATAATATAGTCACTTAAACAATGAGAACCAAATTCAAATTCACTGGCAGTGATGATAAAAACCATTTCTTCTTCTGAATCAATTACCGTGTGGATATCAGACTGACAAATACAATGTTTCATAAAGAAGGTACATTTCAAGTATTCATTTGATCCACCAAGAAATCAAACTAAGTTTGAAGCAAATATCAGTACATAATAACTTAATCAATTTGCTACAAATAGTCTTTGTTGTTACTATTCCACTGAATTTCAACACATATTAGAACCAAACATTGAGAAATCAAATGAAATCGGAAAACTAAATTACATGCTCTGCCATTGAGCACCACTTTGTCTACTAATTCACCAAAAGAACAAAATCATAGCAAAAACTAAACAAGCAATGAAGCATCAGAATATAAAAAAAAAATATGCATTTGAACATGCAAGTGGAAATTCAGAAAACAAAGAAAGTGAAAGAAGCAAACTTACAACATCTCCAGGGGAAATCCCCAAGTGGGTGAGAGCAGAGGCGAGTCTGAGACATCGCTCGTGAGTCTCCTTCCAAGTGTACTTCACAGAACCGTACACAAGCGATGTTCTGTCTCTGTAAACCTTTGCAGATCGCTCCAGGAAGGTTATGGGAGAGAGAGGAACGTGGTTAGCTGGACATCGGACCAGACCCTCCACCGATTCACATGGGTCCCGTTCGAGATTTCCGGAAAATTGACGTGAAAATTGAATGGATGTAAGTATTGGTTGAATTCGATTCACACTACCAATGAAGCGAGAGAGAGAGTTCTTGAGGAAGCGATTCATGGTGATGGTGGGGAAGAGAGAGAGCAGTAGACTTCCTCTCCTGGTTATCTCTATATCTCCTTATAGCCTCTCCAATGATAGCAGCCATTTTACCTATTTACGTATATATTTTATTTTATCTGTCATGTTTTATAGCTCTTTATTTTAATTATTTATTTAAATATTATTAATTTTACAGAATGTTATCAACAATAAAGATAGAGGGAATAATTCTAATGATTGAATATATTTTGTTTAGCATTGAAGGCTAGTTACATATAACTAGTGAATATGAGTTGAGTCAAAATGCCTAATCATATGGTTAATGCATTGAAATTAAAAAAAATGAATCACATTAAACGTTTTAACTAACAAGTATTATATGCTTAGTGCATTGGAGATGTCCTTACTTGTTTAATTAAATTTAGATGAAAAAAATAAATTTATATTTTTTTATTTTTAAATAATCAAATTTAAATTGTTAAATTAATTCAAAGTATATCTTCACCGTTCTAAATAAAAAGACAAGAAGAGATCCACCGTTACAAGTAAAGCCGCAAAGAGAGAGCCAATGAGAAGATCTCAACTCGAGAGAGAGAGAGAGAGAGAGATGATTACAGTGTTCAGTGGCGGTGAGTTTTCGGAGAATCCAATCAAATGGGTGTACCATGTTGATGTGTCGTCGTTTTGTTAAGGTTTGGATGGATAAAATCAGTTGAAGAATACTACAAATTTAATTAATCAGAATTTTATTTTGTGTTAATTATGTAAAAGTTTAATTTATAAATGTTATGGTAATTCAGATTTTCCTTATACTTTTTTGACTTAATAATTGAGAATATTATTTAGTGTGTTTAGTTTGAGTTTTCTGTATTAAGTTTTTTAAAAACTGAATTTTTTAATTTTCGTATTTTTTTGTTTTTAATGAATATTTTTAAAATCTTAAATTTTTTTTTTTACTTTTTTAGATACACCTTACTTAGATGTATCAAAAAAGTAAAAAAATTGTAAAAAAATATTTTAAAAAATTAATAAATACATAAAAATATAAAAAATGTACTGAATTCTTATATTTTTTTGTATTTTTGATATTTAGTGAATTTTTAAAAGATTTTTTTTACAATTTTTTAATTTTTAGGTGTATTTATGTTAAGTGTGTCTAAAAAGTAAAAAATTGCTTAAAATATTAAAAAAATTCATTAAAAATTAAAAAAATACAAAAAATAAGAAAGTAAAATTTTCTGAAAAGTGTTTTTTGAAAAATAAAAACAACCAACGTGATTAGTTTTTTCTAATTTTTAAAAATAAAAACGTTATCAATTTTACATAGTAACATTTTAGATAAATGTTTCACTAACTAATGAAAAAAAAATGAATATGAGATTAAACGATTTTACCCTTCTACTTATTGGTTTGATTCAACTATCTAATAAAACCAAAAATATTAACATTTTTTTCAGTTTCAAAACTGATAACATTATCATTTTTTTCATTTTTAAAGATTTTTGTTTCAATGTTGTATATCAATGTTCTATCACAAAATTTTCAGTTTTGCACAAAAAAATAATTTAGTTTTTTAATTTTTTTTTTTAAAATATTCAGTGTTTTTGGTTTCAATTTTCTAGAAATTGAATTTTTTATTTTTCGTATTTTTTTATTTTTAGTGAATATTTTTAAAATTTTAAGCAATTTTTTATTTTTTTAGATACACCTTACTTAGATATATCTAAATAATAAGATATTTGTGAAAAAATATTTAAAAAAATTAATAACTACATAAAAATATTTAAAAAATGTATTGAATTTTTGTATTTTTTATAATTTTGGTATTTATTGAATTTTTTAAATATATTTTTTCACAAATATTGTACTTTTTAAGTGTATTTATATAATGTGTATCTAAAAATTTAAAAAAAAAACAGTGAAAATAAAAAATATATAGAAAACAAAGAGTACAATTTTCTAAAAAATGAACTCTAAAAACTAAAACCAAACAGAGTGATTAGCTTTTTTTTTTGTTTTCCACATAATTTTTTTTTTAGTTTTTTCAATTTGAAAGTTGTTTTAAAGTTTTGAAAATCAAAATAAATGTCAAATCATCATATTCGTTTATAGATAATCATAAATGAACGATTATTATTTGAAGCGCAATTCCGACTATTAAAAATTTAATAAAACTTAAAGGTCTAAAATATTTTAATTAGGATTTAATGAAATATAAGTTCATAAATTAGGACTTATGTGTAAATGTCCTTTTTATTTAAAAGGGTAAATTACACTGACACCCCCTGAGATTTATGTTTATTACAGTTCCTCCCTCACTTTTTGAAAATTACATCTCCCCCCTAAGATTTAAAGTTTCATTACAGATTCCCCCCTTCAGCAATTTAATTTTTTTAAATACCAATTTTGTCCTCATTGGATAAATTACACTGGCACCCCTCACATTTTAGAAATTACAATCTCCTCCATAAGGTTTAAAGTAACATTATCAATTGGCCACTCAGGTAGTATTAGTTAAAAAAAAAATTAATTAAAAAAAAATTTGTTAGTAAAATTTTTAATATTTTTGTTTAAAAAGCAACGTAAACATATTTTTTGAATTTACGTTTTTTCTTTAAATTTACAAACTGAGACAACCATTTATAAACCAAAAAAATTATCAAACAAAATTTTATAACAGTTTTTAAAATTTTTGTAAATATAAATTGAAAACTGAAAACGAAATGATTACCAAATAGGTCTCAGATGGTAAAAATGTCATAAAATTAACAAATAATTAAATAAGCTACCAATGTAAGAAATAACTTATCAAAAGATTCTTAGGCTATGTATGGTTTAATTTTTAGAAAAAAAAAATTAAATTAAAAGTTAATTTGGTTAAGAAATAAAAAATAAAAAATAATTATCATTTAAGGGTAAAAAATAATTATCATTTTAACTTTTGGGTAGATTATACACATACGTATAGATGTTTCAATTTAATTTGTAAAAAATTATTTATAACCACTCGAAAGATAAAAATTATATAAAAATGATAATTATTTTTTATTTTTTATTTCTTAACCAAATTAATTTTTAATTTAAAAAAATTTCTAAAAATCAAACCATACATAGCCTAAGAATCTTTTGATAAGTCATTTCTTACGTTGGTAACTTATTTAATTATTTGTTAATTTTACGACATTTTTACCATCTAAAGCCTGTTTGGTAACCATTTTGTTTTTCAGTTGTCAATTTATATTTACAAAAATTTTAAAAACTGCCATAAAAACTTGTTTGATAATTTTTTTAGTTTATAAATGATTGTCTCAGTTTGTAAATTTGAGGAAAAAATGTAAATTCAAAAAAGAGGTGACGTTAGTATTTAAACAGAAATTTAAAAATTTTACGAACAAAAAAAAATTTATTAATTTTTTTTTCAAATAATTTTTTTTCCAACTAATACTAACCGAGTGGGCAATTGGTAATGCTACTTTAAACCTTAGGGAGGAGATTGTAATTTCTAAAATGTGAGAGGTGTCAATGTAATTTACCCAATGAGGGAAAAATTAGTATTTAAAAAAATTAAATTGCTGAGGGGGGAATCTGTAATGAAACTTTAAATCTCAGGAGGGGAGATATAACTTCTGAAAGATGAGGAGGGAACTGTAATCAACCTAAACCTCAGGAGGTGTCAGTGTAATTTACCCTATTTAAAAATATCAAATGAATGGTTTAGATTCATTACAATACATTAATTAAAATTAAATGGAAGTTTTTAAACGGGCAAATTACAATTTTTTTAAAAAAATACAATATGAGTCTAAATAAGCTCAATTTGGTTCTCATTTTATTTATTTAAATGATTCAGCGTATACGATTCTGTGACAACCCTCACCACTGTTTACTGATAATACCACTGATTACTGCTAAACTGTGACTGAACATGATTAAGTAACCGGTTTGACTGACATTCTGAACTGATTGATTGGGTGTATTAGTTTAAACACATTTCTATCTGTTTGACTGTTAATTGACCTATTCATGTTTTAAGTGTCGAACTGTGAATTGAAGGGCTTATCGGCGGCCGAATCAGAAATTGATATGTGTCTTATGTTAATTAGAATTTATATGATTTTATGCTAGATTTGATTGAAATGTGATTTAGAATGATTAAATTAGATTAAATAATGGTAAATTACATTAGTTAGCTTATTTACCAAATTTGCCATTTAGTGGGCCACTTGTTAAGACACCTTTGAGACTTGATTCACACTTTTCCTCAGCCATTTTGAGACCAAAAACCGTAGGAGAGAGTGAGAGAGGAGAAGTTTGGTTTCATCTAGAGAATTACCTGGAGAACTTGAAGAATTGAAGAGTAGATTGCACAATTGAGCTTCCGTTCTTGAAATTGAGGACCTGAGGTAGGAGAATCACCTTCTTGAACTTGTATTTAAGTTGTATCTTGCATGTTTCATGGAAGTTTGGTGATTAGAGTCTAGAATTGGTTCAAAATGTTGAATTGAAGCTTAAATCATGCATGCATGTACACATTCTTGAGTTTTGAGGTCTTTCCATGAAAATTGCTACATGCATGTCCATATCTTGATTATAGTTCATGAATTCATCATGTTTTTTGAAGGATTGACTCATTTGTTCTTGTATTAGAAGCTTTGAAATTGATTAAATTCATGCATGTTGCATGTACATCATGTTCTTGAAGTTTTGTTTGAAAATGGGTTCAATTGAACTACCTTTGGGCATTGATTTTGCAAATTAATCTTTGAAACATGCCATATTGTTGGTTTTCAAGTGTTTTCCAGAAAATGGGCCTAGGAGATTGAGTTTTGAGGTGTTGAATGCTTGGTTTGAGTTTTGAAGGCAAATCTGGAAATTTCAGAATTTGGCTTCCTCGCCCGAGCGAAGGATTCCACGCTCGAGCGACCATCGTTTGTTCAGAGCTCCGCTCGAGCGAATGAATGATGGCTCGAGCGTAAATTGCAAGCTCTCAGGTTTTTGGTGCACACGACGCAGGCTCGAGCGAGAGAACCTACGCTCGAGCGAAGACTGTGTCTCACGCTCAAGCGAGCGGTTTTCATGGAAATTGCTACATGCATGTCCATATCT